AAAGAGATGGTTTCCTGGGTCCTTAGCAATACGACGCCGGACACTGCGGGGCAGCAAAAAAGTTGGTACGGCGTCTTCTCGAAGAACCAAGGTGGAGCGCATGATCTTGGAATGGAGGAAGATGTCGCGACGCTTTGTGAGATATCGTGGGAATTTGTGATCAGTTGGTTGAGCCAGTCATTCCCGCATGGAGCTCATGAGCAGAGGCCTTTGGGACGATGTCGAAATGGGGTCGTCATAAGGCCATCTCAGTGACTACACGGCCTGCCACGCACGGCGTGTGTGCCACGACTCTGGACAACTCTGAACCGCTTGATGCGGTTATAACTTGCGATCCCGACCTTGCGCAACGTGCCTATTAGTGCATTCTACCATCTACTCGCACAGGCGTAGAGATTTTCACCAAAAAAAGAAAGAAAACAGACACGCCAAACGAGGGATGGGACGGGGAATAAGGGGCCCCGCCACGAGAAGTGCGTTCTGGGGATGCAGAGCGTGCAAAGCGGCTAGGGATGAGGTCACAAAAGAGGCGCGCGAGGCAAGGAGGAGACGCGGGGAACTGACAGACTGGGACGACTGGAAACAAGAAGACAGTGAGCCACCACAGGCGTCGTTGGCGCACATACTGAGCGGCAGCTGCGCTGGAAATAAGGAAGAGGCGCGTCACTTCATGCGGAAGCTCGATAAACACACAGCGAGGGCGACAGCAAGAGTTCAACGGGAGGCGCCGGACTCAAAAGACACCGCCACATTCCTGAGACGAGCGAGGGCAGCCTCCTTAAAGGCGAAAGGGTCTAGATTTGGGGCGCTTGCCGAAGAGGAGTACGACAAAATAGCGCCCGTGATTGCCTGCACGCTACCCGCACTCACGGACTCCATACCCGAAAGAAAGAGAAGGGAGCTCGCGGGAGAGGTGACGAGTGAACTACAGGTAGTGGGGAAGGCAGCCTCGATTGCCATACAGACATGGGTGCGAAACAACGACAAGACCAAGGCACGGGCAGAGGAACGAGAGAAGAATATAGGGTGGATAAAGCGCCTGTTCACGGCATGGAGGGTGAGCCACACCGAACGTACCGAGCGAAGAGCCGAGCGGAAGGAGGACGGGGAAGATGACTCAGAGGAGGACGAACCAGTGGAAATTCAGTTGTCAGATGTCACGATGCATCCGAAGGGGACCCCAGCGCCGGCATCATCCGTAGAGGCACGAGTGTTCGAAGAGAGAGTGGACCTGAGCAACAACATGACTTGGAGGCAAATGATCGGAGTGGGAGTCAGAAATGTGGTCCTTGCGCGAGGGGGGGAGCTCGATAGACTCGAGGGGCCAGGATACGCCGCAAGGAGGACGGAGTTGCGCCGAGAGGCGAAAGAAGCCGCGAGAACAAGGGACCGGCAGGCGGCGGCGTCGCAGGACGAGGCAGAAGAGAACGACGCGACAGAGGGGGAAGTGACAAGGGAGAGAACGACGAGAGTGGGACAGCCGCGAGGTGGCATGAAGGTTGCAGCGAGAAGCGGCGAGAGACTGCGAAAAGAGATACGAGGAGGCAGACTCCCCAGGGTGGGCGACGGCTAGCGCATCACACCCTCCTCTCCTTAAAATCCCTGTGTGGTGGCGGCGTGCCGTTCTCCCATCCCTCCCTTGAATTGTGTGTTTTCTTTCTTTCTTTTCTGGGACGAGGACAGGGTCCCCACCTGCACGAGCAGGATTTTGGAAGAACGATCAGGGGGACAGGCGGGGCTCTCCTGCTCCTGACAAGGGACACGACAGGAGCTTTTCTTTTCAGATTTTCTTCTTCCGTAGCGGCATCCCCATGCTCCTCGCGGCAATATTGCCACTGAGCGCCCTCGTCGCGACACAGCTGGTGCCGGCGGCCGTAGCCTCCGACGCTGCCGCCGGAGCTGCCGTTTTCGAGCTCAAGTGCGCAGCATGTCACGGCGGCGGCTCCAATTTGATTAGCCCGGGAAGAGACCTCAAAGCTAAGTCGCTGGAGGCGAACGGCTACGCGACAGAAGAGGCGCTCTCAACCCTGGTCGCGGTCGGCAAGGGCCAGATGCCCAGCTACGGTCCAAAGTCGCCACCGTTTGCGAGGCTGACAGAGGAGCAGATATCGGACGTGTCTGCGTATGTGCTATCGCAGGCCGCGGCCGGCTGGCCCAGCGGACGATGATGATACCCTCGCTGGCGCGCTGCAATGCACGCATACAGACGCGTCCTTGTCGAATCGCACCACCCTGTATCAGACGATATACCCTCGCAGACATGGGCGCTGCAGGCGGAGGCGCATACGTTGCGACGCGACACACCCTGCTGTTTGGGAGATGACACATATTGCTTATATTGGCGTCTTCACCGTCGATGAGTCCATTGCGAGAGCCACGCCGTCGTTTTCAAGTACGGACGGAGGAGAGATCGAAGTCAACACATGTTACTTTTCCACCACACAACAGAGAACAGTCCTCAACACATGTTACTTTTCGTCAGCATGGACGTTCCACCTACAGGACCTAAATGAGAGCCTTTCTGTGGCGGGGTCGCCCCCTCCGTCATAGTGTCTTGAACCGCGTGATTGTATTGTGAGTCGGAATCGCGCTCACGAGGTCGAGAGCCTCGATCGCCTCTCTTAGCGACTCGTGGCCGGCCTCGCGGAAGACACACGCCAGCCGAAAGTCCAGGCGTCCTGCGCGCATGATGCGATGGAGGAGGCCGACGGCGAGGTGCTCATCTGCGAGGATCGCACAAAGGGTCACCACGCAGGCAGCCGGGGCGGAGCGCGCATTGCGGGGCGGAAAACAACAGGAGGGTGGTGGGGCGGACCCGTCAGTGAAAGATCGGTGATGAGCTCTGGGTGCGCGGCGAGGGTGGACAGCGCGAGAGCTGTGAGTGACGGCACGGCGGGTGGCAGAGCCGCGCGCAGCCCTCCCCAGGGCAGCACGCCGGCCGCGTTCTCCACCTCGTCCGCCTCCGCTGCCGCAGATGAATTCGCCCGCAGCGACGCCTCCTGATCCCGCTCTCGCTGTGCAAGCCGCCTGGCCCACTCCGGGGTGTCGCTCGCGCTCATGCTGCAGGCCGTCTCCGTCCTGTCCGGAGCTAAGCGGCAGCGCCCTTCGCCGGGTTCGGACTTTTCTGGGCTCGGAGTGGAAGGGCGAAAAAGAAGGAAGGATCCTAGACCCAAGGGAGGGATGGGAGGACGGCACGCCGCCACCACACAGGGGTAAAGAAAAGAAAGAAAGAAAACAGACAACCCAAGGGAGGGATGGGAGGACGGCACGCCGCCACCACACAGGGATTTTAAGGAGAGGTGTGTGGTGCGCTAGCCGTCGCCCACCCTAGGGAGTCTGCCTCTTCCTATCTCTCAGGGGTAAAGAAAGAAAGAAAGAAAACAGACGACCCAAGGGAGGGATGGGAGGACGGCACGCCGCCACCACACAGGGATTTTAAGGAGAGGTGTGTGGTGTTCTCTCAGGGGTGAAAGGCGATAAGCTGGCATGGAAATTCTTTCAATGGCACCTGCAAGGGCTCGCAGCGAGTCCGCGTCGACCGCCGCGACCGCCTCTGTGTGCTGACGCGCACCACGCCGCCTCACTGTGGCCACCAGTATGAGGTTGCTCGCGCCCACTGCATCGGCTTCGCTGCTGGTCCGCCTCTCGCTCGTGCCGCACCGCGCGCACGCGCTCTGCTCCTCCGCGGCGGCGCCGCAGCGAGTCCACCTGAAGCTCGATGCGCCCGTGCGGCACCTCTTCGAGCCGCAGAAGAAGCGGGTATCGCTGAGGCTGCCGTCTGCCGGCGCGCTGCCGCTGCAGGCCCTGCGGGCGGCCCTAAGGGAGCGGTGCGGCGACGAGAGCGTTGAGCCGTTGCTCGAGATCCGGCACGGAAAGCGCCGGATCGAGAGCGACGAGGACCTCGTGAGCGTACTCGCCGTGACCGCCACGTATGGTGGCGACGGGCCCACGCTCCAGGTCGTCGCCAGGAGCGGGAGTCAGCTGCCTCCGCCGCCGCCGGCCGCGACTCTGCTGCCGCCTCAGGTCGGGCGACTGCGCCTCGTCTCCTTCTTCCGCTTCGCGTCGCTCGGCAGCTCGCGGCGGCAGCATCTGCTGGAGGAGATGAGCTCGGTGCTCGCGCGGCTCGGCTGCCGCGGGAGCGTCTACGTCGCGCCGGAGGGAGTCAACGGCCAGCTCTCGGTGCCTGAGGCGCAGCTCGACGCCCTGTCGGTCGCGTTTGCGGCCCTGCGGGGCGTGGAGGGTCTCAAGCTGAACGTGCAGCACGCCTCCCTCGGCACGGTGCAGGCGGACGCCGCCACCGCCCCGTACCGCAAGCTCATCGTTCGCGAGAAGCGGCAGATTCTGACCGACGGCCTGACAGGCGCCTCGCTGCCCGTGCCACCGCCCTCGCCATGTCATCCAGCACTCTCTCACATTCTCACCCTCCCCGGCCGTTAACGACGCAGAGGGCGACGAGCGGGGGGAGGGGCCGGCGGGAGACCCGGCGGCCGCGTTCGATTGGGACCGCGCCGGGACCGAGCTCGCTCCTGCGGACTGGCACGCGATGCTGCCGCCAGGACGGCCAGAGCACGCCGCTGCTGCTTCGTCGGCGGCTGCCGGCGGCGAGGGCGGCGGCGAGGGCGGCGGCGAGGCGGGCAGCTCCGTCGGTCCGATTCTGCTCGACTGCCGCAACGACTATGAGTCGTCGGCGGGGACCTTCCTCGGCGCCGAGCCGCTCGACACGAGCGTCTTCTCGGAGAGCTGGGAGGTGCTGCGGAAGCGGCTCGACGGCGTGCCGAGAGAGCGGCCGATCATGACCTTCTGCACGGGCGGCATCCGCTGCGTGAAGACCAACGCCTTCCTCGAGCAGGAGCTTGGCTTCACCAACACGTTCCGCCTCCGCGACGGCATCCACGGCTACTTGCGCCACGTGCGCGACACGCCCGGCGTCGCGTCGAAGTGGGAGGGCGACAACTTTGTCTTCTACGAGCATGACGACGCCGCGCCTTCTGGTGACGAGGAGGTGCTCTGACGCGCGTGTGTCAAAAGTGAGGATGTAGAGTTCGTGAGCAGCAGCGCGGTAGCTAGAGAGCGAGCTGAGGTCGTGCAACGTGCAGGCTCGCGTCCTCGTGTGTAGAGACTCACCTAGAGAGAGCGCGACGACCCCCCCGTGACGTGACGTCCACACTGAGAGCAGAGAGCGCGCGGCGGGCGGATGGGCGTGGAGCAGCGCGAGCCGCTAGCTCCTAGAGCTGGCAGCTGCGGAGGAGCGGAGAGCTGCTGCGCCACACAGGTGCAATCCCACTTCTCCCGCGCACAGGCCCTGGGGAATTAGTTTTACCATTTCCACCGCGGCCCCGAATGTGGGTGGCTTAATGTAGCTATAAACAGAAACTAACCGCCCGGGGTCGAAGAAGGGATCTTGCATTTAATTTGCTTCTTGTGTGGAGTGTGGCATGTTGGTCCATCTGCATCTCTCCGACTTGTGGAGCTGGAGGGAGAAGTGTGGAGAACTCTGGCTCGGCAATACTGCCTTGTACTGCTTACTGGGAGAGCGGCAGCGCATCTTCATCCCGAACGGAACGCTGCAATCAGTGTGCAATCTTTACCGGTATGAGACTGGTATTTGGCGATATTTTGATTAGTTTTGGAGTGGTATGGTATAGTGGTATGCGAAAGTGGTATGCGGGGTTTTCAGTAGTTGTAGCGGCTGTCGGTGTGGTCCCGGGGGCGAAACCATGCAAAAGTGCGGGTATTACCCGGGTATACCCGGGTTTTTTCAGGTATACCCGCAAAATACCCGGTATTTTGCCGATTTTGCCGATTTTGCCACCAAGAAGGCACTCCGACTCGCTTTGATTTCCGTGAGGCAACTGGTATCCCGTACCACTTTTTGATTAGTGCAGGCCTTGGGTTTGATTAGCCAAAAACTCCCATACCGGTAAAGATTGCACACTGGCTGCAATCCGCACAAGTCAGAGTGAAAAAATATCGCAAGCTCACGCCGGGACCTACGCGGGGACCCACATGCAAGAGAAGGGCAGAGGCCCCAGCTGTTTTCCATCAACACCGCGTTGTGGCGATGCATCATGATTCATGTACAACCCAGTCTGGCCGCCGTCGTGGATGAACCCATTTAGCAGTCGTCGTCCGAGTCGTCGTCGTCGTTGACGTCGCTGCCGCATGAAGTAACCGATCAGTAACCAGCCTCCGGCGGGGCCCCCCGCTACCATCCAAACCCGAGTACAAAGCGCCTCTCCGAGAGCGCTGCGCAGACGGTCTACTTACTAATCATAGAGGCTCAAGTGCGACAAGTCCACACACATAACATGCGACACGGGTGCCATACACAAAGCATTACTCTCACGACACACGGGCACCGGAGCGGCGGCAGCGGCGGCAGCAGCACGCGCGGGCGGACGGATTCGGACGGGGCGGAGCAGCGACCGCCTGGGCGGCCGCTGCTCTGTCTGCCAGAGCGCGCCGTCTGCGCAGCGCGGTCAGGTGCAGGGAAGCGTGGCGGCGCGGGGAAGCGCGGCGGCGGTGGCGAGCAGGCGAGCGGCCCGCGCGCGGCGAGGCGGACAGGTGATCGGCAGGCGGGTGATGGGCCGGAGAGTGACCGCGCCCAGCGATCGGAGCGAGCCGATCGTCGCTCGGCCGCAGCTGACCTCGAAGGCGTGCGGAGCGCGACTGTCGGTGTCGGGGGGCGGCCGTCATGTGGCGAGGAGGGAGGACGACAAGTGCGCGTCGTAGGGGTCGCTCTTCATCGGCCAGTCGAGCGGACGGTAGGTCGGTCAAAGTGAGGGCCGGTGAGGCCGGCGAGATTCGTTGCGAGATACGGTTCGCGCCCATCCAAGTTTGGACGCTCTGGGGACGCGCCGCAAAATCAAGCCATTGGAAAGGGGGCTACTGGGGCGGCCAAATTCACACCTCGCGGGACTACTTATGTTTTCGTAAACGTAGTCGTGGCCCCCCGCTACGTCGCACGACTGCGACTGGGTAGCGGGGGGCTACAAGAATGTCACGGCAATCGCGGCTTGCCTGATTTTCTCTTCAAGCAGTCGGCCCCTTGAGCCGAGCATGCTTACGACCCGTGCCTTCTCTTCTTCGTCCAGCCCGGCAAATGCAATCATGGCCGGCAGCACGCGCTCCAGTAGCGGCTGGTTCTGACTCCTTAGTGAGCTTGACGCCATCAGACCGGAATCCAGGGCATCAAAAGCGGTCTTGAAATGGTCCACTTCTTCCATACTCGTAGCAACGAAATTGAGCTTGCGCACCGGCTCTGCGGTATCCTTGTCATTGTCCTCGTTCTTTTTATCGGCAGACAGCAGCGCAATCTGCGCGTTGGCCTCTGCGAGCTGTGCTTTGAGCTGCGTAATCTGAACCTTGGCCGCTGTGAGCTCGTTCTCCTTTGATGTTTGTGCTGATGCACCTGTAGGAGTTGCTGATGCACCACAACGGCCAGTCAGTCCCCACAACCCACCCACTCACATGCTGGGGGGGGGGGGGGGGGCTGACCCCCAGAGGCTTCCCCGGAGGCTTCGACCTTCGTATGAAGGCGCCGGTATAGTACAATTGGCGTTTTCGGCCGTGTAGCGTGTAGTTTCAGGCCAAACTGAGGCCGAACTCGCCAATTGTACCGCCCTATTACCGGCTGCCAATTTACAAAGCCGGCGGACGTGCGCGGCTGCTGGGCGGTACCAGCTGCGGCACATGCGAGGGGCCCGGGTCCCGGCGATTCTCGTTGCAGCGGCGAGCGCTGCACGAGCAGAGAGTCGACCTGGGCATGCGCAAGGGAGTTAGGAGCTGCCGCGTCAGCGCGGTCACACCGTGCGACGGTGCCATATCCATATTCCTGGGGGGATATATGTGGGATATCAGCGAGAGATATTCAGATCATGTCTCCCTTTTTTTTCAGACCGACACATAGAGCTCTACTGAATATGAAAATATGGCATTCGAGAGAGAGACCCCATTTACGCTCTAACTTTAAGAGAAGCCCTCGTCTCGCGGCGCCGTCGTCTCGCGTCAGAGCACCTTGCTCTTCACCCGGAGCGCCGCCTGCTCTGCCGAGGCCGCCGCCTCTCCGGGGAGGGCGGCGAGCCGGTCGGCGAGGTGGGTGAGCACGGCCGCCGCCTTGTGCACCGGGAGGGCCTTGCGCGGCCGGGCGTACGAGACGAGCGCGTGGAGGACGCCGTGCTTGACCTCGGCGCCCCCGAACTGCGTGATGGCCGCGCCCCAGTACTCGCCGCGCTCGAGCTGCGCCTGGTACGCGCGAAACTCGTCGAGCGTGTCGCAGACGGCGAAGCGGGCGAGCGAGCCGTCCGGCCTGGGAACGGGCGGCACGACCGGCGGCGCGTAGGCCGCCCAGCCGTCGGGCTGCTTGTGGAAGACCACGTCGCGGCCGCCCACCCGCATCGTGTGCGTGGGCTGCGCGCTGACAAACTGCCAGTACGCGACGGCGGAGGCACCGAGCTCGACCGCCCGCTGTATGTCGCGCGCCACCTCCTCCGCCTCGGGCTCGACAAACTCGGAGAGGAAGCAGGGCACTCCGCCCGGCGAGCCTACGTGCTGGGTACGCCAACCTCAGGGCGGGAAGACGGTATTGTGCAGCGCATTCAGAGCACCGCGTGAATACAACGGAGAAGATTACAGTGAATACAGCGGAATACGGGTGAACACAGCTGAGTACGCGTCCTCTCGGGCGCCAGAAGGAGTACAAGAACACGTTTCCGCTTCTAGGCCGCCGAACCGCTCAGCAGCTGCGCGAAGGCGCGCGCGCGGAGTGTGGCCGAGGCGAAGGAGCAGCTCGTCGGAGGGGCGTAGTAGTGGAAGGAGAGCAGCAGCCGCCCGCCCGCCGCCCACCGGCGGTACGTGCGCCACGCGGCCCACGGGATCGGGTCGCAGAGCGCGAGCAGCAGCGTGGCGAGCGAGAAGCCGGGCAGCGCCTGGCCGACGTCCGTGACGCAGACGGGGACGCCGCGCACGCCTGGGAGATATGGGGAGATATGGGGAGATCCGGGGAGATCCGGGGAGATCCGGGGAGATACACGCCTCGCTCGTCGAGCGCGTCGAGCGCCGCCGCCTGGAAGCGCCACAGCTCGGAGCGGAAGCGGAGCAGCCGCGACGGCCGCCCGGTGAAGAGGTCCCACAGCCCGCCCATCGGCGGCTCGTTGAGCGTCTCGATGGCGATCACGTTGGCGTGCCCCCTCCAGACGGCGGCGAGGCACTCGAGCAGCGCGACGTAGCCCTCGAAGACGGGCCGGTCGGCGGCGGCGCGGTGCGAGCGGTAGAGGCGCGAGGCGAGGTTCTGCACCTGGGGGAGATATGGGGAGATATGGGGAGATATGGGGAGATATGGGGACATATGGGGAGATCCGGGGAGATGTGGCGGTAAGAGGCGAGGCTCTGCACCTGCTTGCTCAGAAAGAGGACGCCGGATCGCCAAGACTCGCCATAGTTGTTGAGCCGGATCGACGGGTTGCCCAGGTTCATCAGCGTCGCCGGACGGCCCGGCGCCTCGTCCTCGACGCTGAAGGCGCGCCACGGGTCCTCCTCGCCGGAGGTTTGCACGGAGACGAGCCGCCCCCAGAGCGGCTGCAGCAGCCGCGGGAGCGCAATCTCGAGCGGGTGCGACGGAGAGACGAGGTAGGACTCGCCGGCGGCCGTCTCGGGGCGGGCCTGGAAATGCTGCGCCACCCACACCGGCACTCCCTCGCCCCCGTTTGTGGCGCACATGGCGTCCTGGTGCACCTCGAGGAAGCAGTAGATGCCGTGCGCCTCGAACGTGGAGACCGTCTCCTCGAGCCGCGCCACCCACTCCGGGTCGAGCCGCCCGGGGCTGGGCATTGCACCGGACCAGAGGCAGCCGAGCCGCCAGCACGGCACCACCCGCTTCCCCGGCACCCGCCAGCTGCCGCGGGCGAGGTTGGCCACCACCGCCCGGCAGTCCCTGGCGACGTCTTCGGGCGGCGGAAACCACGGCGCCGCCTTGAGCACGTAGTTGCCTCCGACCACAACCACCTCGTCGTCGCCGAGCGCGAGGATGCGCCGGCCGCGGCGCTCCACGACGCGGATGCGCTGCGGGTGGTCTGCTGGTGGCGGAGGACCGTCACTGCGAGCGAGCCAATCTAGGACCGCCGCGAGGTTTGGAGAATGGTAGCCCGCCCAAAGGAGCAGCGTTTGCAGGAGGTGCAGCCAGAGCGCGAGGAGCTGCAGGCCGCGGGCGAGCAGCGCGATAAAGGCGGACCGGCCCAGGGTGGTGCAGGTCTGCGAGGCGATCGTGGGTACCGGCGGGCGCAGGGCCCTCCAAAACGGGTTCGGAGACGTCCCGGAGTCGCGAAAAAAAGAAAACGGCCTGCGGGAAGCGCCGCCGACGTCGCGCCCGGCTCGCGGCTCGACGGCGACGACGTCGCGCTCGTCGCCTGGCTACACATGCGCTGCCTCGTCACCTTCGCCCTCTCCGCCATCTACTGCGGCTTCGACGCCCTCTCCTTCATCGCCCCCATTGGCCGCGCCAGTCTCATTTAGCGTTCCCGCATTTTTGCCATCCCGGCTGATCGCGGTCTCGACGACAGCTCCTTCGCCTTCGTCGCCATCGCGCGCACCGTCGCGCGCGGAATCGAGGACTATCGACGACGACGTCCCTGTCTGATGCGTGAATACGGCGAGCGTGCGCCCAAACCAGCAGAACAGCACCGAGCGGCGGCGCCGACTCCGTGAGGCCACTCCAACTCGCACATCTCAAGCTGTATCTCGAGAACTATGGGGTGTGTCGGGGTCGATGTCTCGTCGAGTCTCCGTCGGGGAAACACAACGAAAACGACATGCATGGAAAACGACTACGACGCGGCTCGAGCTACTACGCGGGTTGCTCCTCGTCACCGCCGCGCGGGAGCGCGCCACTGCACTGCGGAAGGCTGCGGCATGCGGCCTCGTCAACACCCCACAGCTCCACAGCCTCAGCGACGAACCTTACTGACGGCTCGTCGGGAGCGGCGACCGTTGCCGCAGCGGTGTCGGCGCCGCCCTCGGCCGGCGTGGCGATGAGCGTGAGCGGCGGGTTGTCGAAGGTGTCGCTGCTTGCGCTCGAGCCGCCGCTGATGTCGCTGTCCAGTACCAGCCCGCCTCCGGCGCCGATCGCGAGCTGCAGGCTCTCGGCGGCGCCCTCCTGCGTCGTCGCGACGAAGTGCTCGTTGGCCCTCGTCCAGCGGAACGGGAAGACCACCGGCGTCGCGTGGGCTCGCCGCCGGATGGGTGGCGTCACCTGCACAGACACTCGCGGCGGGCGCGCCGGACTACCCACGCCGCCGCCACCCTCCTCTGCCCCTCCCGCCGCGTCCGCCGCCTCGCCCGCCGCCGCCGCGCCCTCCGCGAGGAGGTCGGACGTGCTCCGCTCCATCTGGGTCACACGCGGCTGGGCGGGCGTGTTGCCGCGGGCGACGGGAGGCGGAGGGAGGGCGAGCCGGCCGAGGGCGAAGAGGAAAGTCTCGCCCGTGCCGTAGACGGAGTGGGAGGGGGCGCTCTCGGAGGAGGCTCGCGCCGTCGCCTCCCGCAGCTCGCTGCAAAAGGCGCCAAAGACGCGTCCCTGTGTGTCCCGGAGGAGGAGCACGCAGGGCCCGGCGCCGGACGCCGCGCGGAGCAGGCGAGCGAGCGAGGTGCCGTCGCGCTGGCTCGCGTGGAGCAAGAACCACTGGCCGCCCGTGTCGCCAAAGCGCCTCGGGACGGCGTTGGAGAGCTGCTCGAGCAGGCCATCGCCGCACGCCCGGAGCAGTAGGTCCTCGTCCGTGGAGGGAGGAACCATCAGCTGTGGGAGCTTTGGCGGGACGACGACGAGCAGGTTCACCGCCGACGGGTCCGCCACGTCCTCCTCCTCCTGCTCCGCCGAGAGCATCGACGTCAGCGACGAAGCCATCGCACCGA